CGAATCATCATCATCCGAATCATCATCCAAATCATCATCATCATCATCATCATCATCATCGTCATCAACATCATCATCATCATCCGATTCATCATGGTCGTCATCCGAATCATCATCATCATCATCATCATCATCATCATCATCCGAATCATCGTCATGATCATCGTCATCCGAATCATCATCCGAATCATCATCATCTTCATCATCATCCGAATCAGCATCATCATCATCCGAATCATCATCATCATCATCCGAATCGTCATCAACATCATCATCATCGTCATCATTTTACAGCGTATTACAATGAAACGAACTTCACTGATCACGACCAAACTCATGATACATACAAGAAAAGTAAGAATGTGTATGGGCGATAGGAATTGGGCCGATTTTGAAAAATGGGAATAGAACGCAAATCTCAATATTTAGGTATGCATAGTTTCACTAATCTGTTGTTGATTCCTTCAACTAGGCGACATATAATACAATGACCACATTTTTAGCTTTCCAGCAATGATTTACTGCAGTTCGTGTGCACAAACAGTAATTCGACTACTCATAGAAGACATCCGTGGTAAATCGAGAGGATTGTGGAATGGATAGCTTACTGCTGAATGCATATTACTGGCTTAAGTGTAAGCGAACTCGATCGTTTGAGTAAAACGAAGGCTAATTCGAAATGGACTTTGTGTTTCTGAATATGATATCATGCTAAGTAATCCATCATGGGGCTCAGGTAGTTAAAGTGACGCCAACTTTTTCTACTACTAATAAATACGATGTAGGTGAACAACTCTACTTTCATCAATTCACGAACTCTGGCTTTTGACCATGACCAAAATAGATTAGAGGTTATGCAAACCAAATTGATTTGCATTCAAATCACATCAATAATCGGTACTCACTCCTATTCATACGTGTACTTCACTCAGGACAGCTTTCAAACCAAGCACTGTGCTGTCTTGCATGGGCTTCTCTATTTAGAAAACTCCGAATATCCCCTATCTAACTACCTGTTCAAGGACACCTTTATATTGATTCTCCTTTCACAGGGAACAACCGGTTTTGATGCCAAATAGATTTATTCATGCTTCCTTAATCAACTGGGAATGAATGATACGAGGATTTTCTCGCAAAAATAATATCACTTATTTAAAAAATAAACAATCTATTCTGATTTCATTGCTGTTCCCGGTTGCCTCGAGCAATTGCTTATCACATTAGTATGCATGTCTTGGATTTGCGCGCCGAAAACGGACTGCGAAAATTTCTCACCGGAGCGGACACAGTGTCCAGCTCATTCACGTCTAACATGTTGTTGTTGTTGTTGTTGTTAGCTGAGCACCCAGCATTCGGTGACGTGGGCAATTCCCGATCCCATGTCCGCGATCGACTCACAGCACACACATTGTGTTGCCCGATGACAGGGGAAACTGCATCCCATGCTACTGGTTCGGTCCGGGAAGGGTCGGGCTGTTCAACCGGGGCAAATCTCACTCCATCCGCAATCAGCGCAATGCGGTAGGTGAGCATATATCCATCAGAACAACCGACATAAAGCATCTCTCCAGCCACGTTGATGTGTGAAATTGTGTGATGTACATCGATTAACCCACAGAGTTCGCCCACCTTAGGATCAACCAGGTATACATACTGATCGTGTGACAAAACCCAAGCTCTTTCGTTCTGAGTTAGTCCGTGACAGCGAATCGGAACCGACGGATTTTTGGCCAGTTGGGATGATGACGATGATGCAAACAGACAATCGAATAGTCCAATATT